TAAACCCTAAACCCTAAACCCTAAACCCTAAACCCTTACTCAGGCTTCTTAAGGAAGAGGTGCCCCTGCCTCCAAACCTCAAAGTGCTGCAGCGCATGCACAGCAGAGGAGGCTGCAGCAGCAAGCAGCAGCAGCAGCAGCAGCAGCAGCAGCAAAACTAAAAACAGCAACACAAAGGCAACAGCAGCAGCAAAATGTGCCACCCGACAGAAGCAGCTGCAGAAAAGCAGCAACAGCGGCAAGAGAAGAAACAGCAGCAGCAGCAGCAAGAAAAGCAGCAGCAGCAGCAGCAAGAAAAACAGCAGCAGCAGCACGCCCACGGCTCTCTGCGTCTCTTCTGTCTCCTCATCTGCTGCTGCTGCAGCAGCAGCAGCAGCAGCAGCAGCCAGGAATCCTCTTTCTCGGCTGCAGCTGTCTGCGGCACTCTCTCTCTTTTCATTTTCCGATTTGCTGCTTGCTTCCTTCTCTCCGAAGCCAGCAGCAGCAGCAGCAGCAGCAGTAGGAGCAGCAGCAGCAGCAGGAGCAGCAGCAGCAGCAGGAGCAGCAGCAAGGACGGGAAGGCCCTCAATGTGCCACAGACGACGCGGCGCCCGTTGCTGCTGCTGCTGCTGCTGTTGGTGCTGCTCTTGCTGGTTTTGCTGATGTTGCTGCTGCTGCTCTTGCTGCTTTTGCTGCTGCTGCTGCTCTTGCTGCTGCTGCTGCTGCTGCTGCTGCTCCTCTTCAGTTTCAGAGTTGAGCATGGCTAGGCTTATGAGGGCCTTTTCAACTGACAGCAAATCTGCTGCTGGTGCTGCAGCAGCAATTGCTGCTGCTAGCTTGGTGACCTCAGGAGAGACCTCGTACTCCTGCTCAGCAGCAGCAGCAGCAGCAGCAGCAGGAGCAGCAGCAGCAGCAGCAGGAGCAGCAGCAGCAGCAGCAGCAGCAGCGAGTTCAGCTTTCGCTGCTTGTCGTGCTGCTGCTGCCGCTGAGAAACTCTTCCGGTGCTTCTCCAAGCGAGTAGCAGCAGCAACAGCAGCAGCAAGGTCTGTTGCTGCTGCTGCTGCTGCTGGGGCTCCCCTTATTAAAAGACGCTGCTGCTGCTGCTGTTGCTGCTGCTGTTGCTGCTGCTGCTGTTGCTGCTGCTGCAGGAACAGGTGAGGCGGCAAATACCCTGGAGCGCCGGGCGCATTGCCCTGAATGCAGCAAACCGCCATCCCCCTTCAGCCCTTAGGGTTTAGGGTTTAGGGTTTAGGGTTTAGGGTTTAGGGTTTAGGGTTTAGAGGCTCACATGAAACTTCGCGCCGCAGCCGCTGCACTCATCTGCTTTCCGCTCCAGAGACACACTGTACAGGGGCCCCCCAAGGGGGGCCCCCGGGGGCCCCTCATGGGGGGCCCCCAGGGGGCCCCCTGGGGGGCCCCCCGGGGGGGCCCCTGGGGGGGCCCCCAGGGGCCCCCCAGGGGGGGCCCCCAGGGGGCCCCCAGGGGGGGCCCCCAGGGGGCCCCCTGAGGGGCCCCCTGGGGGGCCCCGTTGTCGCAAGGCTGCAGTTAGTTTGCTGAGGGCGCGGCGCCTGAGTAGCTGACACAAAACCCTAAACCCTAAACCCTAAACCCTAAACCCTAAACCGTTGGCCCTAGGCGCTGAACAGGAGCTCAATCCTGAGTAGCTGACACAAAACCCTAAACCCTAAACCCTAAACCCTTGGCACTAGGCGCTGAACAGGAGCTCAATTAACTAGATTACACGGAGGGGTCTAGGGTGCAAACCCTAAACCCTAAACCCTAAACCCTAAACCCTAGAGAATGACTTACTGGGCCCTATTTAAGGGTTTTAAACCCTGTTCCTCGTCTAGCTGCTGCAGCTGCTGCAGCAGCTGCTGCTGCTCTGCTGCTGGTTCATCCGGGACCCCCCAAAGGTCGCTGTCTTCACTACCATCGTCAGCAGCAGCAGCAGCAGGTCGTGCTGCTGCTGCTGCTGCTGCTGCTGTTGCTGCTGCAGTGCTTGCAGGGACACGAGGCAGCAGCGCCCCAGGGGGCCCCCGCGGGGCCCCCTGGGGGCCCCCTTGCAGCAAAAAAGGGTACAGAAATGAATCAACAAACCCCAGGGGGCCCCTGGGGGCCCTAGGGGGCCCCCTAAGCTGGAGAGCAGCAACACAGGGGACGCTTTGCTGCTGCAGCTGCAGCTGCAGCAGCAGCAGCAGCGGCAGCAACAGCAGGGCTCGCAGCGGCAGCAACTGCCGCAGCAGCAGCAACGGGCGACTGCCGGCAGCAGCAGCAAGAGCTCCCATGTGTGCTGCAGCCTGGGGGCCCCCAGGGGCCCCCTAAGGCCCGAGACACCAGTAAGGCCTGTTGCAGCAGCAGCAGCAGCAGCAGCAGCAGCAGCAGCAGCAGCAGAAGCAGCTAGAGGAAACTCAGCGTTCTACGTTTTGCTGCTCTTTATAATAGATTTTTATTATCATTTTTAAAAGACCTTTTGCAGAGACTTGCGGCTGGGGCCCCTGGGGCTTGGGGCTGCTGCTCATGCAGCAGCAGCAACAGCAGCAGCGCCAGCAGCAGCAGCAGCAGCAGCAGCAGCCGCTGCAGCAGCAGCAGAGAAATTGAGCAGCAAGACGACGCGGCACCTACTGCTTCGCTCTAAGTTGCTGTTGCGGGTTCTCTCTTGTATGAATTGCCGCTGATGCCGCTGCGTTAGGGTTTAGGGTTTAGGGTTTAGGGTTTAGGGTTTAGGGTTTAGGCCCCACAGCGGACAGCAGCGCATAGCGTTTGGCTGCGGCTCTGTTCGTTTCTTTTATTTCTTTTGAATTTGTTATTTTTAGTGGAAATTTAGCAGCAAAACAGCAGCGCAGCAGCAGCAGCAGCAGCAGCAGCAGCAGCAGCAGCAGCAGCCGGGGATAGGGTGTATGAGCATTTGTTCGTTGCGCTATTTCAAGCCGAGTGCATCGGCAGCAATTAAACTTCTTCATTTTTTATTCTTTTATTCTTTTTATTTATTTATTTGTTATTTGATTCTTCTTTGAAACTCCAAAATGGCGGCGCGGCGAAGGAAGAGGAGTGACAGAGCAGCGGCAGACTCCTCCGAGGAGGAGTTTGCTGCTGCTGCCCAACAGGTAGCAGCAGCAGCAGCAGCGGCAGATCAGCAGCAGCAGCAGCAGCAGCAGTCCCAGCGACAACAAATGCGCGATATGAGAGCAGCAGCAGCAGAGCACCAGCAGCAGCAGCAGCAGCAGCAAAAGCTGCGAAGGCAGCAAGGGAGCGACAGCAGCAGCAGCAGCAGCTGCTGCTGCAGCAGCGGTATGTTAGCTTGATGTGGCTTTGCTGCTGCTGCGTTTGCGCTTGTTGCTGTTGCAGGATAGCAGCAGCAGCAGCAGCAGCAGCAGCGAGGACGAGCTGCCTGCAGCAAAACCTAAAAGCAAATTTGTACCTCTGTCATCCAGCAGCAGCAGCAGCAGCAGCAGCAGCGACAGTGGCAGCGCCGACAGCAGCAGCAGCAGCAGCGAGGAAAGTGATGCTTCTGACGAGGAAGCAGCACCAGCCAAAGTAGCTGCTGCTCCCTCTCCGAAGCCAGCAGCAGCAGCAGCAGCTGCTGCTGCAAAGCCTGCAGCAGCAGCTGCAAAGCCTGCAGCAGCTGCTGCGAAACCTGCTGCAGCAGCAGCAGGAAAAAAAGGAAAGAAATCCCCGCAGGTGAGCAGCACCAGCAGCAGCAGCAGAACTTTTGCAGCAGCAGCTTCAGCTTCACCAGTAGCAGCACCGAGCAGCAGCAGCAGCAGCAGCAGCAGCAGCAGCAGCAGCAGCAGCAGCAGGGTTTATGTACAGGTGGATGAGGATATCGACGAGCTGCTGGCGGAAATTGAGAGTCCCTCACCTCCCAAAGCAGCAGCAAAAGCAGCAGCAAAAGCAGCAGCAGCAAAACCAGCAGCAAAGGCAGCAGCAAAGGCAGCAGCAAAGGCAGCTGCCAAGGGGGCAGCAGCAAAGGGGGCAGCAGCAAAGGCAGCAGCAGCAGCAGATGAAGATGATATAGACAAACTGCTGCAAGACATAGAAGGAACCCCCTCTCCAAAGCCCGCAGCAGCAGCAGCAGCAGCAGCAGCAGAAAGCCCCGCCTCAGGCGCAGCAGCAGAAGATGCAGCAGCAGCAGCAGATGACGCAGCAGCAGCAGCAGCAGCGGGGAGCAGCCAGGCAGCTCAGGGCAAACTCAGCAGAGCAGCGCAGCGGCGACAAAAGAAGAAGCAGCAGCAGCAGCAGCAGCAGCACAAGGACTCTTCATCATCTGAAGGGGAGGTAAGCAACTTTAGTTCTTTTTTGTCTCTAAACTGCAGCAGCAGCAGCAGCAACCGGCACAGCTGCAGCAGCTGTTGCAGCGGGAGCGGCTGCTGCAGCCGCAGCAGGCGTATCCAGCGGCAGCAGCAGCAGCTGCTGCAGCAGCTGCAGCAGCAGCAGCAGCTGCTGCTGCTGCAGCAGCAGCAGCAGCAGCAGCAGCAGTTCGCGTCGCCTGTTGGGTGCAAAGTGTCCCTTCGAGGCAAAAAAGAAAACTGCAAAAAAGAAATCAGAGAGAAGATGCTCGAAGGAGAAGACAAAAGTCTTTTGTCTCCTTCGAGTATAAAGCTCGTGGCACAAATCTGCTGCTGCTGCTGCTGCTGCTGCTGCTGCTGCTGCTGCTGCTGCTGCTGCTCTGTGCGTGGCTGCGGAAGCTGCTGCTGGGAGTAAGGGTTGCAGGTGCTGGTTGCTGCTGCAGCAGCAGCTTAGGGTTTGGGGTGTGTCGGGCTTTGCTGCTGTGTTTGCTTCTTCAGACACGAGCAGCAGCAGCAGCAGCAGCAAAGAAGGGTCCCGTGTCTGCTGCAGTGAGAGCAGCGCAGCAGCGGCTGCTGCTGCTGCAGGAGCAGCAGAAGCGGCAGCAAGAGGAAGAAGAGCGCCAACGCAGAGAAGAGGAAGAGCTGCGCAGAAAGTAAGGCCCCAGGGCCTAGGGTTTAGGGTCTAGGGTTTAGGGTTCAGGGTTTAGGGTTTAGGGTTCACGGTTTAGGCTTTCGGGTTTAGGGTTTAGGGTTTAGGGTTTAGGGTTTAGGGTTTAGGGTTTAGGGTTTAGGGTTTTGTTGAATTGGGGCTGGCGTTCTCGGTTTGCCCCGCTTCAAGGTGCTCTAGGGTTTAGGGTTTAGGGTTTAGGGTTTAGGGTTTAGGGTTTAATTTAGGGTTTAGGGTTTAGGGTTTAGGGTTTAGGGTTTAGGGTTTAGGGTTTAGGGTTTAGGGTTTAGGGCAGTGGTCAGCTTAGGGTTTAGGGTTTAGGGTTTAGGGTTTAGGGTTTAGGGTTTAGGGTTTAGGGTTTGCGGTTTAGGGTTTAGGGTTTAGGGTTTAGGGTTTAGGGTTTAGGGTTTAGGGTTTAGGGTTTAGGGTTTTGTAGGGTTTAGGGTTCAGGGTTTAGGGTTTAGGGTTTAGGGTTTAGGGTTTAGGGTTTAGGGTTTAGGGTTTGGGGTTCTGCTGCAGGGAGGAAGAGGAAGCCAAGAGGAAAGCAGCAGAAAGGGAGTTGAGGGCGAAGGCAAAAGCAGAAAGAAAAAGCAAATTAAAAGCAGAAGGAAAGTTGCTGACAGCAAAAGAGCAGCAGCGGCAGAAGAAGCAGCAGCAGTACCTGCAGCAGCTGCAGCAGCAGGGGCTGGTGCCTGCTGCGTTGTCTCCCGCTGCTGCTGCTGCTGCTGCAGCAGCAGCAGCAGGCACCCCCGAGGCGGTCTCCCCGCCCAGCAGCAGCAGCAGCAGCAAAGCTGCAGCAGACAGAGAACGCAAGAAAAGGGAGCGGGAGCGGCGGCTGCTGCAGCAGCAGCAAAAGGAAGCAGCAGCAGCAGCAGCAGAAGAAGAAAGACTTCGCAAACTCAAGAAGGAACTCGAAATGCTGCAGCAGCAAGAGTCGCCCAGCAGCAACAAAGGAGGAGAGAGTAAGACACTGCTGCAGCAGCTGCTGCTGCTGCTGCACTGCTAGCTGCAGCAGCTGCCGCAGCAGCTGCAGCAACTGCCGCAGCAGCTGCAGCAACTGCCGCAGCTGCTGCAGCAACTGCCACAGCAGCTGCAGCAACTGCCATAGCTGCTGCAGCAACTGCCATAGCAGCTGCAGCAGCAGCTGCAGCAGCAGCTGCAGCAGTTACAGCAACAGTTCTAGCAGCAGCAGCAGCAGCAGCAGCAGCAGCAGGCATGCGTGTGCTGCTCGCAGCTGCTGTTGATGACTGGGAGGCTCTGCTGGACGAAGTGGAATCGCCGAAGACCCCGAGAGCAGCAGCAGCAGCAGCAGGTGCAGCAGCAGGCGCAGCAGCAGCAGCAGCAGCAGCAGCAGCAGGGGAAAAGAAGAAGTCGCAGCACGTGGGAGAGGTTCGCAGAAGAGCAGCAATGGAGCAGGCGCTGCAGCAGGCGAAGGAGGAGCAGGAAGCAGCAGCAGCAGCAAGAGCAGCAGCAGCAGCACAGAAAGCAGCAACGCCGGAAGCAGAACAAGCAGCAGCAGCAGCACCAGCAGCAGAAATTGTTCCCCGCAAGAACATCAAGGAAACAACCTCGCTGCGGTCTCCCATCTGCTGCATCTTGGGACACGTGGACACAGGTGAGCAGTGGTCAGCTTAGGGTTTAGGGTTTAGGGTTTAGGGTTTAGGGTTTAGGGTTTAGGGTTTAGGGTTTGCGGTTTAGGGTTTAGGGTTTAGGGTTTAGGGTTTAGGGTTTAGGGTTTAGGGTTTAGGGTTTAGGGTTTTGTTTTAGGGTTTAGGGTTTAGGGTTTAGGGTTTAGGGTTTAGGGTTTAGGGTTTAGGGTTTAGGGTTTAGGGCAGTGGTCAGCTTAGGGTTTAGGGTTTAGGGTTTAGGGTTTAGGGTTTAGGGTTTAGGGTTTAGGGTTTGCGGTTTAGGGTTTAGGGTTTAGGGTTTAGGGTTTAGGGTTTAGGGTTTAGGGTTTAGGGTTTAGGGTTTTGTGTTTAGGGTTTAGGGTTTAGGGTTTAGGGTTTAGGGTTTAGGGTTTAGGGTTTAGGGTTTAGGGTTTTGGCGGTCTGCGGCGTCTCTCACAAACGACTGTTGCGCCGGTCCTTCGCCTCGAACAGCATCATTTACAAGGTCCTAGGTTCAGGATTAGGGTTTAGGGTTTAGGGTTTAGGGTTTAGGGTTTAGGGTTTAGGGTTTAGGGTTTGCGGGCAGGGAAGACGAAGCTGCTGGACAAGCTGCGGCGGACAAATGTGCAGCTGGGAGAGGCCGGCGGAATTACGCAGCAAATCGGCGCCACTTTTTTCCCCAAGGAGTCTTTGATGGAGCAGTGCAACAAAGTCAGCAGCAGCAGCAGCAGCAGCAGCAGCAGCAGCAGCAGCAGCAGAGGTAGCAGCAGCAGCAGCAGCAGTGTTCGCAGCAGCAGCGGTAGTGGCAGTGTTAGCGAGTGCAGTGGCAGCAGCTGCAGTAGTAGTCACCTGAGCGAGTGCAGCAGCAGCACCGGCGAGTTCACTAGCAGCAGCAGCAGCAGCAGCAGCAGCAGCAGCAGCAGCAGCAGCAGACCTTTGCTGCTGTTTGAGTTCCCGCTGCAGCAGCACGAGCGCCGCAGCGCCACCTGCGCGTTCCGCAGCAGCGGCAGCTCGAGCCCCCAACTAATCTTTACTGCCGCTGCTGCTGCTGCTGCTGCTGCTGCTGCTGCTGCTGCTGCTGCTGTTGCTGCTGCTGCTGTTGCTGCTGCTGCTGCTGCTGGTGTTGGTGTTGGTGCTGCTGGTGTTGCTGCTGGTGTTGCTGCTGGTGTTGGCGTTGCTGCTGGTGTGGCTGATGGCTGGGCTGCTGGTGCTGTTGCTGACGCTGCGGCTGGTAGTTGTTCTGCTGCTGCTGCTGCTGCTGCTGCTGCTGCTGCTGCTGCTGCTGCTGGTGCTGCTGCTGCTGGTGGTTTGGGGTTTCGGGTTTGCGTCCGTGTGACTGCTGCTGCGGGTGTGCCGTGCAGCAGCTTGCTGCTGCAGCGCTGCTTCCCCTCCGCTGCAGCCCCTGCTTCCCGCTGCACCCCCGCTGCTGCTGCTGCTGCTGCTGCTGCTGCTGCTGCTGCTGCTGCTGCAGGGGCTGGAGCCGCAGACACGGGAGTCCTTGTCTTTGCTGCGGCAGCGGAAATGCCCCTTCGTTGTTGCTCTCAACAAAATAGATCGGCTTTATGGCTGGCAAGAAACCCCCTGGGGCGCGGGGGCGCAGCAGCTGCTGCAGCAGCAAACTGCTGCTGTGCAGGACGAGTTCCGCCACCGCTGGAGCGACATCCAGCTCCAGGCACGCAAACCCTAAACCCTAAACCCTAAACCCTAAACCCTAAACCCTAAACCCTCGAGCGCCCGCGACCGCGAGCGCCGGGCGCGCAAACGCTGAACCCTCAACCCTCAAACGCCCACGCGACGTGTAGCGCCGCATGCGCAAACCCTAAACCCTAAACCCTAAACCCTCACAAACCCTAAACCCTAAACCCTCACAAACCCTAAACCCTAAACCCTCACAAACCCTAAACCCTCGAATTCAAAAACCCACTCCCTCCCAGTCCCCAGCAGGCCTCATGGAGTGCCCGCGGTCTGTGCCCTGCTGCTGCTGCTCCGTGACCGCCCCCACTGCTGCTGCTGCTCTGTGGCCCCCCCACCGCCGCCGCTGCCGCTGCTGCTGCTGCTGCTGCTGCTGCTGCTGCTGCTGCTGCTGCAGCTGGCGGAGTTGGGATGTTTATAGCGGTAGGGGTAGGAAAGAGATAAGAGTGAAGGGCGACTACCAGAGTTTACTGCTGCTGCTGCTCCTCTGCTGCTGCTGCTGCTGCTGCTGCCGCTCATCTGCTGCTGCTCCTCTGCTGCTGCTGCTGCTGCTGCTGCTGCTGCTGCTGCTGCTGCTGCAGGGCCTGGAGGACGCGATGGCGGGGACTTCGTTGTATGTGGCGGAGAAGGAAGAAGACATTGCGGAGTTGGAGAACGAAGTGATGCAAGAAGTTTCTTTTGTTTTGAAAAAAGTCGAAAAAACCAATAATGGAGTTTATGTCATGGCTTCCACTTTGGGGGCCCTCGAGGCCCTCCTCGCCTACCTCGAGGAGTGCAAAATTCCCGTCTTCGCCGTCAGCATCGGTCCGCCGCTGCTGCTGCTGCTGCTGCTGCTGCTGCTGCTGCTGCTGCTGCTGCTGTTGCTGCTGCTGCTGGTGATGGGGGTGGTGGTGATGGGGGGAGGTGAGGGGCTTTCTTGGGGTTGCTGCTGTTGGCTTCGCTGCCGGGTTTTGGGGGCGGTGGTGCTGCTAACCTGCTGCTGCTGCTGCTGCTGCTGCTGCTGCTGCTGCACTAAATCGCCCAAACCCTCCCCCCACCCAAAACCCAGAAAACCTTCTCCAGCCCCAAAATTCGCCCTTCAAATGCAGCACCCCCCAAAACGCGCGCATGCATGCATGCATGCATGCACCGCATGCACGCATGCATGCACGCATGCATGCATGCATGCACCGCATGCACGCATGCATGCACGCATGCATGCACGCATGCATGCACGCATGCATGTACGCATGCATGCATGCATGCATGCATGCATGCGTGGGGTGTTTGTTGCTGCAGGGACTGTGCAGAAGAAGGACATAAAGAAGGCGTCGGTGATGCGGGAAAAAGGGTTTGCGGAGTTCGCGGTGGTTTTAGGGTTTGATGTAAAGGTGGATGCAGAAGCAGAAAAAGAAGCCAAAACCCTCGGAGTTAAAATCTTTTCTGCAGAAATCATTTACCACCTTTTCGACCAGTTCACCAGCTACTTCCAACAAGTCAAACAGTCCAAGAAGTGGGCTTAGGGTTTAGGGTTTAGGGTTTAGGGTTTAGGGTTTGGAGCTCGGGGTTCGGGGTGGGGCTTGGGGTTTGGGGGCGCAGGTTTGGGGCTTGGTAGGGTTTAAGGTTTAGGGTTTGGAGTTTGTTAGGGGCTGGGATCTAGGGTTTAGGCTTAAGGGGATAGGCTTTATTAGGCTTTGCGGTCTAGGGTTTAGGGTTATTACAGTTTCGCATTTAGGGTTTAGGGTTTAGGGTTTGCAGGAAAGAGGTGGAGCAGCTCGCCGTCTTTCCCT